TATATATATATATATATATATATATATATATATATATATTAGCAATTACCCGTGCTTTAAGACATTACGTTACTCGTAAAAAAATATAAATATTTTTTAATAAATAAAGACAATGTATAATGCAATTTCAACAATATAACGATCAAATTAATATTGTTCAACTTGTATGCAAAACATATATAATCAAACATTTATATAACGAAAGTCACGCTACAATTATTGCAACATATTAATTAAAAATTTGAGAAAATATAATTATTATTGATCAAACATTCACATTTTTAACTTTTTTAATAAAATTTATTTTAAATTTCAAAAAAATATAACTATTTGTTTTTCTATAGGTTTTTATCTCAAGTTCATGACATTATATTTGCACCATTTTTCCAATACGAGTTCGTGTAATTTTTGTGAGAAAAACATCCAAAAGTTTCACGTGAATTCTCTTAAATGTAAAAAATTTTGTTCAGAAATTAAAATCAGTTTCCATTTGAGTGCAACTTAAATATTTGTAAAATTCAATAGAATTTAAGTTTAGGTGGGGTTATTCTCATCCCATTTAATTTTTCATTATCAAACTATTAAGTCCATCTTTTTTATACATATCTCATTAGTAATTAAGTCCACCACCATGCTACATATATCCCGTTTAATAAGTAAACTCACCTTATATTTTGTTATGATTACGGTTTCATTTTCTATTTTATTTCATGCACTTACAAAAATACTATTTTAAGATGAATTTCTCCAGTGAGATATAGATTAGTATTACTTCTCACTTTAATTTTATGTTTGATTTCCGGCTTGTTTTATGGATTTTCATTATTTTATGTATGTTTTAATATCTTTGTCAAGTTTAATAATTTTTTATTTAGAATTTATGTGTATATATATGTATGTTTTCAAATTATTTGTTATTTTTTTATCTTGTTATTTTGTTCTTGTTCAATTTTGTTTTTGTGGTTGATACTTTTTTTTTTCATGTCTAATTTTGCGTCTTGTGGTTTTGCGTTTTGTAGTTCCTTTAATTTTTGCTTGGTTTTTTTATTCCTTGTTTTGGTTTGTTTCTTTTTTTTTTTTTTTCTTGTTTCGTTTTTTTCTTTTTAAAAAAGGTATATGTAGCATGAGATGAGTATAGAAAGGGTAGACTTAGTAGTTTGATAATGAGAAATTAAATGTGATGGGAATGGATGGAGATTTGGGAGTGGGAATGACCCCATTCTTTAAGTTTTAGCAAAAATTTATACTCTATACTCGACAATCAAATTAAGCTCAATTTGAGTTTTAATCATAATTACTTCAAACCGATAATTTAATTTAAGTTCGACTCAATTAACACTTCTATTTTAAATCTACAATCTAATTTTTATCTATTCTCGTTAACTATGATGCCATAACCTCCTATTTTTTTTGTTAATTTAGTTATTATTTATTACCATTACAATCAATTCTAATTTGATTTCAACTTCAATACTCGTAAAATTCAAGCAAAGTTAAAGTTTAAATAAGAATATATATTTTATATTCGACAATTAAATTAAACTCAATTCGAATCTTAATCATAATCACTTCAAACCAATAATCTAGTAAAATGAAATTTGAAGGAGGAATTCCAATCGTTTGATCAACAATCTTAAAATAATCTTAGTTGCGAAAAGTTTAAGACAAATAATGCTAATTCCATTAGTATATAGATATATCACTTTATATATATATTATTCACTTATTAAACTATTTAAATATTATAATATTTTTATTTCAATACAAATATGACCTTTATTATAGTTATTCGACTCGTTTTGACTAAAAAAAATTATATTTAAAGTCTATTTGTTTATTTAAAATTTTTAAAAATAATCTTTAATTAGAATCATAATTAACGACCTAATTAATATGTAGTATAAGATAGAGAGAGATAGAGAGTTATAAGAGAGAGAAGAGTCTTAGAATTGTGGAAGAAATGAAAATCTTACTCAAAAAATGAGTGAGGAAATTTTGTATTAGGACCATCGGATCAATATTTCTTCAAAGCGACCTGAGTAATGAAAAGTTAAAGACAAAGAAATGTAGTTATTTTATTATATATATATATATATATTTAAATTTGTCGGGTTCGGATTAAACTGAAAAACCCGAAGCCTCAACCTGGGTATTGCCCGAATTCAATTCGAGTTGGAGTTTTTGAACTCAAACCCAACCCAAAATTTTAAAACCTCAACTCAATCCTGTATTTTTCGGGTTGGGCTTGAGTTGAATTCGGATTGCCCATCCAAGTTGCACCCCTAGTCTATAGGTTCAGTATATTTCTTGTCTAATTTCTTTTTCTCTTGTGGTTAAATCATCTACGTATCTG